CTTGGGGACTGGTGGTGGGCAAGGCCTGGGGGGCCATACCCTCCTCCCCAGGCTCCCTAAAAGCGGGGTGATCATGCAATTTATGGTACATCCCAGTGCTGCAGGGGAAGGGGGCGCCGGGTTAGCGATTATGCTGTGCAGGCCAGAGTCCCCTCTGCAGCAGGCTGGGCAGCCTCAGGCCTCTGCGTGTTCTGTTCCTTGGCCTTGCCCCCCCCCCCCCCCGGGGGGCCCCCCCCCCCCCCCACCACGGACTGCTCCCCGCAGCGGGCGACTCCAGGCTTGGCTCAGGCCAGGCACCTCTGGACACCTGCAGACATCAGGGCCCTGCTCTGGGCCACCAGCCTGACCCCACTGTTCACGTTTGTCTGCTGGTATCTCATCCCCACTCCACCCCCAAGGGCAGAATCCTGGCCTGTTGACTCAGTTTCCCAGACCTAGTCCTGGCTGGGAGCTCATTGGCAGTTGTGGGGCAGTGGGGCTGCCAGCTTGGTGTTGAGACTCCTTCAGGGCTGGCTGTCTCCAGGCACCCACAGGAGTACCTCGGGGCCCCAGCATGTGCCGGGGAGACCACTGTGGGGCCTTGATGCAGACAGAGGAGATGCTTAGCCAGGTTCGACGGATGCCCCTCAGTGTGGCCGGGTGCTGGGAACTGGCGGGGAGCGGCCCTGGTCTGGGGTGGTGGGTTCTTGGTCCCGTGCACAGGTCACGAGGCCCTGCTGGTGTCTGAGTAGAGACTGCCCAGGGCAGATGGCCACCATGCTCTTTCTCATGGCAGGCATCAGGGTGTCATCGAGCTGCTGCGGGCAGCTGGGGCCTGTCTGTCCCCCGAGGAGCTGGAGGACACAGGGACTGAGCTGTGCAGGTGAGGGGCACAGGCACCTCTGTGTTTCCCAGACTTGGGGCCCGGGCTCCAGGAGGGAAGCTGGCCTGCAGGGAGGAACGGTTGGCTGGGATGGGGCCTTCAGAGGAGGGGAGACCACCCTGCACTTGGTCTGCAGCTGGGGGTCATTCCTGGCAGAGAGAACAGTCCAGCAAAGGGGTGTGTGTGTGCATGTGTGTATCTGTGTGCATGCATGTGTGTGGGCTTGAGGGCTGTAGAGAGGTCACATGGGAGAGGGTGGAGTGTTGGCTGGGGGAGGCCTGGGCTGCATCTGGGGAGGTTAGAGTGGATGGGGTGGGAGCAGGGGACCCCTCTCCAGGCCTGGTGACACGTCTTGAGAGTCTCCATCCTCCCCAGTGGAGGCCTCAGGTGAGGCCTGGTCCCATCAAAGGGCAAAGTGACCACAGGCCCAGCAGCTGTCCTGCCCCAGTGCCCGGCAGCCAGTTGCCAACATGATTCTGACCTCACTGCTGCCCTGAGTGGCCACCAAGGCAGGCCTGGGGAGACTGAGGCACAGGGGGCTTGGGGCCCTGGAGGTCCCCAAGGAGGATGCTGGCAATGGCCAGGGCCCACTCAGCTCCTTCCCCCGTCCCCTGGGACCCCCTCCCTGGGGTGCCTCTGACACCCGCACCTGGTGACTCAGTGCTGCCCGCCAGCTCCTCCTGTGTGCAGCCTGGGCTGCCCATGGGCAGGGTCTGAGAGCCACGGGGGAGGGAGGCAGGGAGGGGCTGGGGCGGAGAGTGGAGGAAGGCAGGCCAGGGTGCTGGTGGTAGCCAGGGTTGGGGTCTGCGTCCCTGGAAGTCAGAGTCCCCAGGCCTGGGCAGTGTGTGACAGCGGTGGTCTCTCAGGCTGACTGGGAGTGAGCGGTGGGTGAGCTGCCTGCTCAGAAGGAAGAGGACCTGGAGCTCTGGCCCCCTCTTCCCCACCAGCCAGCTTCTCCCCCACCCCCATGCCTTGGTCCCAGTAAGGCCTCGGCCCCTCCTGCCATGAGTGTCAGTGTCCCAGGGGGACAAATCCTGCTGGCCGACCCATCCCCCGCCCTTCTCAGCAATGACAGGGGTAAGGTGAACTCTCAGATATGAGGGGTGGAGGGCCCAGGAAGGCAGAGGCCTGTCTACAACCACTGGGGTGACTGGGCTGCATCCCAAGTGGGCCTTGTTTGCTCCATTGACCGATGGGGAAACTGAGGCAAAGAGGGGCGGTGACAGCCAGGTCTCACCGACAGCACTAGCACCTTTGTCCAGGCCTCCACTTGGGAGTGGGCTGGTCCAACCTGAGCTGCTTGATTGGACTTGGGGGCCCTCGGCTGGCCCTTCCCAGGGGCGAGTGTGCGTGGGAGGCCTGGGGCAGGTCTGGGAGGAGCTGGTGGTGCCATCCAGCATGATTCACCCCAGAAATTACCCAGCGTCACTGTGGGGGCTGCTGCTTCTCCTTGTGATCAGGAGGGAGTCACTAGGGCCCCTTTGGGGGGGCAGCCCTTCCCCCCCTGGCCCCCCCAGCCCTGGTCAGCACATCTGGCATGGGCCCTTTCCCTCCTGGTCCCTGGAGGGGCAGTGAGCTCCTTTGAGAGGGGCCGGAGGGTGAGGGGGACCCCGGTGAGGGCCTGGGAGGTGCTCTGCTCACCATCTTCACCGTCTTCTCCAGGGCGGGCTGGCCGGGGGCCCCTCTCCCAGCCAGGACCCCCATGCAGCCTGCTGGGCCCAGGCCCCTCAACCCTGGCCCTCCTGTGTATCCCTCTTTGAACCACTGGGCTGCCTCAGACTTTCTTCCTGCCTCTGTGGACCCCACCTAGGGAGAGCTATGTTGTGAAATATGAAGCTGGCATGTGGCACTCAGCAGGCAGGGGTATGTGTGCGTGTGCAGCTGTGTGCGTGTGCATGTGCCCACGTGTGTACCTGCATGTGCATGTGTGCGCCCTTGACCTGAGTCACAGTCACTCCACCAGTGAAACCAGGCTGCCAGCCTGCCCCAGCAATTCCTGCCCTCCTGCCCTGGCCTGGCTGCGGCTAGCTCAGCTGTGCGGGGCTGGTGCTGTGAAAGTGCCCCAGGCAGGCAGGTGGGCAGGGGGACTGGCGTCCAGCAGGCCCTGATGGCTCCCTCCCTTGCTCCCTCTCCCAGGTTGGCATCCAGGGGGGACTGCGAAGGCCTAAGGGCGTGGTGGCAGGCAGGGGCAGACCTGGGACGGCCAGGCTATGACGGGCGCAGCGCCTTGCTCATTGTGAGTGCCACCAGTACCCCCGCTGCTCTTTCTAAGGCCACCTCCTCCAGGAAGGTCCCCCTGACAGTTCCACCGCTCCATCTCCCCTGCCCCTCCCCAAACACCCACCTCCTCTCCTGGTGGATAGGCTTCACATGAGGGGGCTGTGCAGGGCTGTCCCCCTTCCTCTCCCAGGCCCCTCCCAGGGCCCAGAGCTGTGGGGACCTGGAGAGCAGAAGAGACACGGGGCCCTGCGTTCATGGGCAGGAGGAGCCGGGTGGGAGGGCGTCCTGGTGGGCAGGGGATGGGGGGAGCTGTCCAGGGCCAGGCTGCCGGTCAGCATCCCTGAGGCAGCCCCTACCCTGTGCTCCCTCCCACAGGCGGAAGCAGCTGGGGACCTGGAAGTGGTGACGGTTCTGCAGAGCCTCCAGGGTGGGGTTGGTGCCCAGGCCCTGGGTCCAGTAAGTGCCCCCAAACCCAGGCAGGGCTGACGGTTCTCCCATAGGGCTCCCAGCCCTGTGGCTGGACCCTGGCTTGAGGAATGTGTCCAAGGGGTGGTCCTGGGGATGGAGCTGGAGGCTGAGAGGGGTCGAAGTCAGTCGAGCCTGCAGAGCCCCTCCTGTGGCCGGGCACACACAGTGCAGGGGGGAGCTGACAAGTGGCCGGAGGGAGATAGGAGCGCTCAGGGAGAGCTTCCTAGGCAGAGCCCACCTCAGACCTCCTGTATTCTGTGCTGTCAGGCCACCCCGTGACACACCCTACCACAGCACTGGAGGCCCAGCCATGGCCAAGAAGTTCCTCGAGCCTGGAGGGGACCTCCAATCTCTCCCCTGCACCCCAGGACCCACTGGGCTGGGTGCTCCTGCCTGCCCTCCAGACTGAGTGGCCCAGGCCCCCAGCTGACACCTCCACCCCCTACTCCGTCATCTGGCCCTCCAGAAGACTCTCAAGGCCGGCTGGGTTTGCCCCGGTCCTCGGGTCCCTCCGCTGCGGAAGGCTGGGCCCCACCGCACAGGTGCCCGGCTTGTCTGTCCACCAGGCCCCCGTGCGCTACCTGGGCCTCCACTCAATCTCAGGAGACCTCTCATTGTCAGGAAGTGCTGCCTGCTGTCTAACCGGAAGCTGTCCTGGTGCAGCGTAAGCCAGACCTTCCTGCTGTGACCTGCTGCAGGGATCGCAGGTGCCCCCCACCCACACCCCCCATGGCTCTGACCAGGATGTGCCCCTGCTGCTGGGACGCTTCCTCTTCTGTTTCTGAGAAGCCTAAAGGTCTTTGTTGGGCAGAGTGGCAATAAAGTCCCTCTGGGGACCACTCCCTCACCAAAGCCTGGCTCCAGTGGGTCTGTTTGGGTCCCGGACTCTGGGTCAAAGGGAGGTGTCTTCAGCACCCTGGGGGGGAGGGGCTCCCAGCCAGTTCTTCCAGAGGCAGCATGAGTGTGAGTGTGAGCCAGGCCCAGTGGGGGCGGGGCGGGCAAGCTGTCCCCTCCCCCCACTTTCCTGCCTCCTGGCCTTTGCTCAGGCTGTTCTCTCCTCCAGACAACCTCTGCCCCATCTCCTCTTCTCCAAATCCTTCTCATTCTTGAAGCTTGGAGTCACCTCCTCCAGGCAGCCCCCGACCCGCAGCTGCTGCTGCCTAACTCTCCTCGAGCAGACAATCTCTCTGGTCCTCACTGTCCCTCTCGGTCACTGTCTGGTTTTCACAGGGGCCTCTGCAGTATGCCAGCCCCTCAGCATGCTTCATTTCAGCCCCTGCCCTGCCTGCAGCCCCTCACCCACTCCCCGTTACGAGCCAGGCCCATCTAGGCCACTGCATGGGGGGCAGGGAAGGGGTGACCTGTGCTGGCCCTGGTTGCAACAGCCTGGGTGGGTGGGCGGGTGGGGGCTGGCCCTGCTGTGGGCAGGTGTGTGATGGGCAGGCCCGGGTCCAGTGGGTGTGGCTCTCTAAGGCCAGTGGGCAGCCGCATGCTTTGTCAGAAGCCCGTCTGGGAATGACATCAGGTGTTTGGACCCCCGGCCAGTTCCTTGTCCAAACGGTGAGCAGTCCAGTGGGGCAAGGGCACGTGCCAGGCTCAGGCCCACCTGGCGACACTGGGCCTGGCTGGCCATGGCCTTCCCTCCTGCTCACAGTCCCTGAAACCCCCCTACTGGGCAGAAGGAGCTGTGGGGGCTGCCTCCCCCGGGGCCCCCACCACCTCGGTGCCTCCCTAACTGCCCACATGAGGATTCCCATCCGTTTGTCCATTGGGCCCTGGGCTGGGGGCTCAGGAGAGAGCAGCCTGAGGGCATGTGCCCTGTAGATATTGGGCAAAAGTGTGACCCCAAGAGCTTGTCTTTGGCATCCACTGTGCAGCTGGGGCCTCTCCTAGGTGGGCCGGGCTGGAGGCGGCTCCACCCGCACCTGCAGGCTTCTCAGCCTGGTTCCCAGGCCCGGGCTGGCACCTTGGCTGGCAGCCTTCCAGATTCTCGCCCAGACACGGGTGTGCCTGGGCCTTGCACAACCAGGTAATGCCACATAAGCATGGCAAGTCTTGGGGAACCTTTGCCCCACACCCTGATGAGTGGGGGCCCATGAGTGGGGGGTGCAGAGGCTCACGAGCCAGGATCCCCTGCTGTTGCTAGTGGGCTGGGACCCTCAGAAGGCCATAGGGGAGGCAATGGGAGTCGGACAAATGCCCAATGGAGGCGAGGAGGGATAAGGCCACCTCTCGGGTCCCACGGCAGATCACTGCACCTCCCTGTCCTCTCCGGGGCTCCCTCATACAGCAGCTCACAGGAGGCACCCACCCCCTTCAGCTCGGCTCCCGAGGGACTGGAGAAGGCCAGAGTCTGTCACTCATGGCCACGCCACACTCGTCACTTCTCCCAGGCCCCGTGGAGCCCCAGGTTGTGAAAGCCGCAGGTGGCTCCTGTTACCCGAGGTGGCAGCACCCTCCCAGAGCGGGTGCCAACCTGCCGGTGTAGCATGCCCGCTGTCTCCTGAGTGGCCCGTGGACAGCACATGCTGAGCTGGTTTCCCCAGGTGGGTCACTGATGGCCGAGGAGAAGCTTCCGCCAGCCAGACAGGTGGGGGCAGCTCCCCACCAGGGCTGGGCTCCTCCACGTGCTTGTGGGACACAGAGCCCTACCGTGAGCAGCTTCTGGGCTGGGCACGCGTCTCTGAACGCTCTGGCAAGTCGCGGGCACATGTTTAGGGGTCATTTTGTGTTCCTTGGGGAGAGGCCAGCCTGGCCCGGTAAGTTAGCTCCTCGGAGAGTCAGAGTAGCACCAGGGGAGCGAAAGGGCTGCTGGGCTCCCAGGCGCACCGCACCATGTGAGAGGGAGCAGCCGCAGATGACAGTGCTGGAGGCTCACTTTCTGCCTGTGCTGGCTTGTCGTCCGCTACACCCCTGAGAGGGTGTTGCTTCATCTTCCTTCTCATGTCACAGAGGAGGAAGCTCAGGCCCAGGGCTGTGCTCCGGGTTCCACGCTGGCACATGGCGGAGCTGGACTGTGAGCCTGCCTGGCACGAGGGCAGCCTCCTCCCCTCTGAAAGGCAGTGCCACTGGGAGACATGGCATGGGGCTGGCATGGGACAGGGGAGCCAGGCTTGGCACAGCGAGTGCTGGATAAGCGCGGGGGAGTCCCCTGAGCCCCACGGGGTCTCGGGGGGAGCAGACTCCGCAGAGGAGAGCTGCATGGCCCACACCCAGTAATTTCCCTCTGGATGAGGCCTCCAGCCCATCTCAAATCACCAGGACCTCAGGGTTATCTCAGAAAACATCTCCACATTTAGGCAGCTATCTACCTTTTCCCAGCATTTTCATCATAAAATCAGACTTCCCAGACAGGGCCCCCCAGGGCTCCCCCACCCACAGCTACAGGGAACTCGATTTCTCTTTCGTGATAGGAAGTTCCCCTTCTGGTCACACCTTGATACCTCCTGCTGCAATTGGGAGCCACAGGTGCTTGTGCTTGTCACCTTCCTCCCCTGTGTCACCAGTCCCCTCTGATGCTGGAGATAGTGACAGTGTGTAAGGACGGGTCTGCCCTGGATTGGGCTGGACCAGGGCTTAGAATCGGGGACAGGAGAGGTGGGTTCTTCTGGCCTCCATGGTGGTGGTGGTGGTGGTGAGGAGGAGGAATTCCCAAGTTCCTCTTCTGGGTCACACACCTCTGTGTCCCTCAGATGTGTCCCTCTGCCCCCGCACTTGACCTCACACACAGACTCTCTGGCCTACAGACTCAGCAGAGATGCCGGGTGTGGAGTCCCAGCTCCACCACTGAGAACTGTTTAACCTCCGAGAAATCACTGCCCCTCTCTATGCCTCAGTTTCCCCAACTGCAAAATGGAAATAAAACCTTTGCTACTCACTAATCAGGGTGGTGGTGAGAGGGAGCCACATGTGGCATGTGTGGACATGCCTGGGGGGGTCCATCACAACCTGGCAGCTGCGTCCTGGCCTGGGACCAACCTGAGGTTCTGAGCCGAGAGGACACTGGTCTTCTGCTGGCCGGGCGTGCCTGTGGGGCTGCCTTGGACTTAGCTGAAGGATTATGACTACCCGGTTGTCCACCCCCATGCGGCTGCACCAGGGGCTCAAGAAGTGGGCTGAGGACTTTAGGGGCCACACTCCTCCAAAGTTTCTTTCCTCAAGCTTGAAGCCCCCACTAGCCCCCATTTGCCCCAAGCAGGCAGCTGCCTGTAACAGAGTCCCCGAGCCTCCCTAGTCAGGCCCCAACATCCCCAGGTGACTAAGAGGGGAGGCCAGTGTGCCTGGGGGTGTGTGTGGTGGGGGGGGGCAGGGCTCTGGCCCTGCTTGGAGGAGAGGGTGGCAGGGTGGGCACCCCCAGTGTGCAGAGTAAGGGGTCAGGATGGGCTCCCAATGTGGGCCCTAGTGGGAAGTGTGGGGCGCTGCCCTCCTCAACCTCCGAGAAGAACCAGAAACTTGCTGGGAGCGTTCGCTCCCTCCCTCTAGTTTCACTTTCTCTTTATCCCCCCTTCCCCCCTCCCACGAAGTTCCCTTTGAAGTGAGAGGGACGGGGATGGGCGTGACCAGCCCCCACCCATAGACGGAACCGGGGCCTGGGCTCTTGCCGGCTCTGGTCCTCACCTGCCGGGGCCGCCCTGGGCACCAGCTCGGCCAGTGTCACACCCCCTTTCCGCAGTGAGTCTGGGCGCCGGGTCCCAGGCGAGACAGTGCGGGTGCGGCCCCCAGGGGCTCCCAGGCTGTGCGCCCGAGGCGGGGGCGCCGGGCGGGGCCGGGAGGCCGGTGAGTCAGGGCCACCCCCGCGCGGGCGCGCCGAGCAGGTACTGGGGCCCCGGACGACCCGCCGCGCGACCAGCCGGCCCGGGAGCCGCCTGGCCCGGAAAAACCGGTCGGGCCGGCGCAGCGCGGGCGCATTCCGGTGGCGGGGGAGGGCGGCCCCACCGCTTAAAAGGCGCCGCGGCGCTGGCCGCCGCCGCACGGACGCAGCCGCCGGGCCACGCGGGGCCGCGGGCCGTCTGCGCTCGCGGGGGCTCGGCGGGCGCGGCGCGGGCTGGGCCGGGCCGGGGCCGGCGGCCGCGCTCCCCCTGCGCCAGGCCGGGGCGTCCGGGGGCCGCGGGGCGCACGGCCGGACGGCGAGCGGAGCGCAGGGCAGGGCTCCCCGGCGGCGGCTTTCTCTCCACAGCGCGGCGGAGCGCGGACGCGCGCCGGGTCCAGTGGTTCTTAACAGTTCAACAGTTCTGTAGCGCAATTGTGAAATGTTTAGGACCACTAGACCCGGCGGGCCTGGCTGCGGCGGCGACAGCGACAGCGACCGCGACCGGGCGTCCCGCGCGCGGCCCGGGGTGAGGGCGAGGGTCAGGGACGCGCCGGGGACCGCCTGGGAGGAGCCCTCGGCCGCGGCTCCGCGCCCTCCAGTCCGGCCGAGCCGCCCGCGAGCCGCCGGGAGGTGGCCGGCCGTGGCGGCGTCCAGCGCGGAGACCCGCTGCGGTGCGGGCGCGCCGGGCCGGCCCACGCTCCTGGAGCCTTGCCGGCCTGGAGACGCCACCGCCGCCCTCCTGCACCCGAGGGCCCCCACCCTTCTCGAAACTCCGCCGAATTCCCAGCCGGGACCTGGCGGGGCCCCGCGGGGAGAAGGAGCGCTCCTTGCCCCGCTTCCCGGGAGCTGGAGCGGCGGGCGCCGCGCCCTCCGGAGAGGAGCTCGTCGGTTTGGCGGCGGCTCGCGGGCAGAGAGCCTGGGCTGGACAGCGGGGGCCTTCCCTTCACAGAGGGCCCGGGGCGGGGGGCGAGCGCAGGGGCCCATGAGAGCCTGTGGAATGAACGAAGGACCCGAGGGCAGAAGCTGCCGGAGGGGAGAAAGCGGTGCGGCCACGCCCTCGGCAGTGGAGACGGGCCCGCAGCCCTGGAAACCGGACGTCCTGGGCCAGAGGGTCCCTCCTGGGGCCTCAGGACCCCCTGCGAAGCGCGTCCTGCGAGCGCTCGCCCGCGGGAGAGACCTTGTGGGAGGTGGTGGGAGCCTGTGTGTGAAGGCCTGGGAGGGGCTGGCCTTGGGAGGGGCTCAGCAAAGGGTCCTTCCATGCCACCTCCCTCAGGCAGGTCGCTTCTGCCTGGGAGATGAGGCTGACCTGCCCCGAGCCTGCCTAGCCTGACGGTCTGGCCACACCCTCTGGGCAGAAGAGGGTTACCCTCAGGTCCCTGCCTCCGTGACCCAGTGTTTAGGGGGGTGCAGAGCAGCCTGGGTGGCGGGTCAGACAGGCCTGGGTTTGAGGCCCACTAGGGCACTGCCCACCTGGGCGGCCTTGGGCCAGTCCCCTGCCCTCTCTGAGCCCCACCTGCACATAGGCGTGGCAGGGGATGCCCCTCCCCTCCCCCTGCTGTGAGGACAGAGAAGTAATGTGGAGGGCTGTGCTGGGAGAGCCGTGACTGCAGGAGGACCTGGCCCCGGCCCAGGCTGTGGCCCCCTGGCAGCCCACAGGGAGGGGGTCATGATCCTGGGAGAAGGGTCCACCCTCAGGCCAGCACCTTCCCCCTTTGCCCAGCAAACTCCACTGCGGCCGCTTCTCGGGTCTATGGTGCTCTGAGGGGTAGCAACGATGCTGCCCCAGACCCCCACGGCCACTTGGTGGCGATTTCATTCTACAGGGTTCTCCCTGCTCCATCTGCCGGGTCCCTCAGCAGCTCAGTAAGAGGGGCTCCCCTCCTGGGGCTCAGGTGGGGGCATATGGGGTGCTCCCTATTCTGCAGCTGGGAATCATTTGGTAGGGTGTGAATATATACATTACAGATTGATGGAAGTGGAGGTGTGTTCCAAAGCTTCTCCGTGTCCGGGGGCTGGCTGGCCTTTCTTTCTCCCCCCAGGCCTTGTTGTAGTCTTTCCCACCTCCTTCCGACCCCAGAGGAATAGAAATGAAGATAGTTGGGGTGGGGCGTGGCCAGGTCCCCATCCTGGGCTCGGCTTCCGGCCTCAGCCCTCCCCCTGGCGCTTTGGTCTTCCAGCAAGTCCCCAGAACCTGCCATCAGCCTTCTCTTAGCCGGGGAAGGGACAGCTCTAGGACCCAGCAGACCCTGCCACCTACCTGCGCCAGTCCCCTCAAGGAGCCAGGCTGTGGAGAAGACTTGGTCCCTGGGGCCCCAGTTGCAACTGGCTTCTGCCTGCTTCCAGCCTTACCCATTCTGGTCCCCTGGCTGGCCGTGACCCATGCCTGGCCGGAGGCTCTGGCCACGGGGAGGAGCAGGGTTGGAGAGCTTAGGGGTTGGAGTGATGGAGGACCCTCTCTTCACCCTCTCTCCTCATCCTGGCACAGACTGAGGTCAATTGTGGGTTCAAATCCCAGCCCTGTCGCCCATAAGCGAGTCCTTGGCCAGCCCTGCATCCTCAGAGCACCCATTTCTTCCTCTGCAAAGAGGAGTGGTGGTTCCGACCTCACAGGGCTTCCTGGAGGGTCCACTGAGAGGATGCTGCCAAACTCCCAGAGTGCCATGGGGCAGAGCTGGAGCTTGTCCCGGGACAGTGTTACCTCATGGTGGGAGGGTGGGTGTGGGGAAGGCCCCAGCTTAATCTGGTCCTCCTGCACAGGTGGCAATGGGATGGGGTCTCACAACAGGGTCCCTTGGTCCCTGGGGTCCAGGAGGGCAGGTAGCTCCTACTCTGCAGTGACAAGCCCTGCCTTTCCCTACGCTGCCCCCTGACTCCCAGCCTCTCCCCTCTCCACCTGCTCACCCCAGCACAGGATGCCAAGGGTCCCCAGTACCCATTCTCTTCAGTAGTGGAAGCCCTGTGTGTTAGCTGGGCATGTGGCCCCCTAGGCTGCTAGCGTGGGGCCCTGCCCAGTGTGGGCAGCAAGGGCAGCCGTGACTTCAGGCCTGACCCTGGGGGACACTGTCTGCCCCTGCTTCCTCTTTCCCTTTTCAGGCGGAACTAGGCCACTGTGCTGCTGAGCCTGCTCTGGCTGTGCAGATGGAGGGCCACTCCGGTTTGCCTGGGTTTCTGGTTTTAGCGCTGAAAGCCCCGTGTCCTAGGAGCACCCTCTGTGCCAGGGGCAAACTGGGGCAGTTCGTCACCCTGCCCTGGACCAGCTCGGGGAACACACTGCCTTAGCGCCTTGGACCATTTACCAGCTTGTCTTTTTCACAAGAGAAATAAACCTATCTTTTTAAAGGTGCTGTTATTTTGGTCTCTATTAAAGTCTCTGAACCAGTACTCTGAGTGAGCGGTTCCAGTCGCTGGGAGGGCTGGCGAAGAGCACTGGGGCTCTGGGAGCAGAGTGGGCTGGGGATCTGTGTCTCTATCGCGCTCTGGCTGGTTGTGATGGAACCCGAGGCTGAGAACCGCTGTCTTAGGTAGCAGACCTCAGCAAGAGGAAAAGAGTTAGAAGACAGGGAGGCACAGCCTCGAACCTGTGGCTTTCAGGGATGTCCTGGGCTTGTGATCCCCAGGGCAGCGGAGCCCAGAACAGAAACTGCCTGACTGTCAGCCCCTGTGTCCCCCCGCATCCCTGCTCGAGCCCCTACTGCACGGACAGCCCTCTGGGGCTCGGGCCAGGCTACCTCCCCTTCTTCCACTTTGAAGGGTTCAGTTAAATTGGGACCACCTGGAAAACCCCAGGTACTCGCCCTGTCTTAAGATCAGCTGCTTGGCAACCTTAATTGCATGTGCCACCTTAATTCCCTTTTGCCATATAATGTAACTGATGACAACAATGATAATGCAAAAAAATGATAAGGTAAAACCGAGATATCTGCATAAAATCTTATCAGCTGGCACCAGCAATCGTGTGAGCACACACGAGAGTGAGATTCCACATGCCTTTGCTGTTGCGAATGACCATAGAGAGGGAAGGACAGGGGACTCTTCCTTACTTTCCCCACACCCTCGGTGACCTGGTGAGCCCTGTGAGAAAACAGCTCTGTCCCCTCTGGGTGCCCTCTGGGGCCAGCTGTGCCTGGCTCTCTGATCATCTGCTGTGGTTCTGAGAGGCTGCAGGGGCGGGGGTGGGGGACATGGGTGGCAGAGGACACGTCCATGAAATCTTTCCTTGAGCCCTCCACTATTTGGGCATCAGCCTTCTCTCTATTTTTTTTTTCGGTTTATAGAGGTATAGTTGACATATTGTAAGGTGAACATATTTAAAGGTACAATTGAGACTTTTTTTGTGTGAGGAAGACTGTCCCTGAGCTAACATCTGTTGCCAATCTTCCTCTTTTTGCTTGAGGAAGATTGTCACTGAGCTAACATCTGTGCCACTCTTCCTGCATTTTGTATGTGGGATGCTGCCACAGTGTGGCTTGATGAGCAGTGCTAGGTCTGCGCCTGGGATCCGAACTGGCGAACCCTGGGCTGCCGAAGCGGAGCATGTGGACTTAACCACTACACTACTGAGCCGGCCCCCAATTGATGACTTTCGATGTGCGCGTACATCCATGAAGCCATCGCACGATCAAGATAACCAGCAGACCCCCCACCCCAATGGGGTTCACTTGGCCTTGAGATACGTTCCTCTTTTCCCCACCCCCAGAGTTTTCTGTATTGGAAGGTTTTCAACTGCAAATTCAATATCTTTGATAGATATAGGACTATTCAGGATATCTATTTCTTCTTGAGTTAGTTTTAGTAGCTTGCATCTTTCAAGGAGTTTGTTTACTTAGTCTAACTTGTCACATTGTATAAAGTTACGTGTAATACTTCATTATTATCCTTTTAACATTTGTAGAGTCTGTGGCAATATCCCATCTCTTATTCTTAGTATTGGTGATTTGTGTTTTCTCTCTTTTTTCCTGATCAGCCTGGCTAGAGGTTTATAATTCCTATTGATCATCTGAAAGAACCAGCTTTTGATTTGATTAATTTTCTCTATTATTTT